AGATAACAGCCTGTGGTGTGTAAATGACAGGAAATAGAATAAAGTTAAAATTTTATAGGCAGAGTACATTTAGGCATGAAGGGGGCATTAGCAGAGCAGCAGATGCCCCAACGGACATGAAGCAGAGCAGCTCTCAACGCCTGCCGTGTTATCAGGACGCTCAGTCAGCGCCGCGCTTGCCGCCGCTGCCGGCGCCGCTGCTGCCATCACTGCACGCCAGCTCAATGAGCTAGGGTCATACGTCTGGTCTACCTCAATGTAGGTCGGATTTGGCATAATGACGGACTACTTGCATATTTTTCAATAAAATAAGCAAACGGAATAATGAAAACTGAATCTTCATTATAATCAGAATCTTCAACGAAAAAATCAAAATCGAATCATTCATCTTGCAACTGTCGTGAAAAATTTGCAAATTACGAAACACCTAACCCAACCTTATTTGGCCGCGACTTGTTGCACAGGAGAGGGAAAACGGATCACGTCCCTCCTAAGTATTGATCGATGAAAATTTTCAAGTAGCCTGAATTGTGCGTCTTAATTACACAAAACTGCGAGACTCAATTGCGATAATGTCAAATGGTATGATCGTCCAAATCATATTGTTGTCATGTTGATACTGATACAGAGACAGAGGATTACATCCAATAGGTACTGTATATAAAACTATCTCGTTAGTCGAGCTGAAACTCGAATACAAAAAAAAAACACGAGATTGAAATTGAGTTCCAGCTGAGCTGCACAATTCAACAAAATTGTTAGAAAATTGGGCTTAATATGCGTTTCGGTTTAACATGAATGCAACTTGTGTGGAAGTTACACACAAATCTGTCGATAAGTTTTAATCGTCGTGTAAACTCTGATCGATGTCGTAAATGTCGTAAATCCGTCGTAAACGAGGATCAGCTTTGCGTAATTGAATTCATAAAAGTAAATAAATCTACAATTCCTTGGTGGCCTTTCTGAATAACACAAAAATGTGGTCCATAAATTCAACCAACCGTAATTAAATTTGTTGCCTTCATATTTTAATCGATAGTGTGGAAACGATATTCTCCAGCTACATATTACAGCAAATTATGTCTCCTACTGTGATGCTTCCTCCGATCTCAAGAAAGTGAAAATAATGGCAACTACAAGGGCTGCGGTTACAGCGCTTATGCACCAGGCCGTCAACTGAATCGTGTGCACACGATTCAGTTGACGGCACATCAGTAGCTACTTTGGCAGAGACGTTGCGCGTTCTCAGAAATCTATGCAATTGTTGGTTAAAATAATTCGATACTCAGAACAGCGGAATCTACATGGCGACTGACCGACAGTGATGCCATATACGGGGCAGTTTCATTTAAACCCCGCCTCAGATATCACGGCAATGCCGCCGACACCGAAGAACAAGTAACGTCTGCATGAACGCGGTCGCAACGTGCATTGTGGCTAGCATGCATATTGTTGAAACAACATTTCGCGTCTACCTGTAGTGTTGATGTATGGGTACAGACGACTAAGAAATATCAAGAAATTCTGTTTCAAGCTAGTGAAATAATAATAATAATAATTTAAGTTAATAACTTAAATTTTATGGTGATGATTGAAACATATTCAGAAAATCTGAAGAATTAATGGTCAGAAGTTGTCAGCGACTGCAAACCTTCACATGAAATATTTTAATAATGTGCATAATACTAATAAAACACATTATAAATGTCGAGGTTTATAACAAACTTCCTGGTTTTTAATTTCATGCCTATTGCACAAAAGCAGATTTATCAGATTACTGCGAGGCAAAAGGTTAGAAAACAAACAACGTTCAAGAAGTACTCACAAGTCCATCACAGGCGCTGAGAGCAACATCAGACGAGTGTTGGTGTCCCACTACATATCCTTTGAAAAAACACTGCGATATTCGGTAGCTGGGCTGCACACGGCTTTTTGCACTGCCTTCCTCGCGCAGTAACATCGTCGGTGCCATGAAATGAGAGTCATGCCATGCCACGACCTGCCACAGTCGACCCCATGCCACCCACTCGTACCCGCGCGTGCCCTGGTGTCCCTCTGTAACACCAGGGACATGCGGCAAGTCGTTGCTGGGAGAAACGCCCTCGGACTGAGAATGCGGGACGGGCCCGTGGCTTTGTGGGAACTGGCGGTGGAACGGCGTTACCCAAACGCGTAGTGTAGACGAATCTATCTCTGTCGAGAGTAAAATGACAAATATTAATAATTGTTTATAGAAATTTAAGTTACATACAATCTTCCTGGAGACAAAATACCAGTTTGTGTTTAATAAATATTACCGTGTAGCTTGACCCGTCCTGGATACAGAGAAGCTAGTTTGCACATCAATATGTGTTCTTGTTTGGGCTTCCTTTGATGCAGCAAGACGATCAGTTTTCCGTCCGCCTTCACTTCCAAGTTTTGATATCGATTCTCCACGTCAGCACGAGAGATCCTCAACTTCCCAGTTTCACAAATCAGCTGAGAAACTTAAGAAAATTCTGCATAAAAAATCGGATAGGAGCAACGTGTCGTTCTGGAATTAACTCAGAGAAAAGTAAAGAAGTATGATCCGAAGAATTAAGAACTTATTCCAGAAGGCAAAACCCGTACTTAAGAGGCCTTAAAGGGCTCTCAAAACCTAGAAAAATCCTGTAAATTATGCTTCATAACAATAATATTGAGATTTTATGTAAATTCTGTTCCGGCAGAATTAGGTGGGTTCCAGTCGCAGCTTTGAAAGCTAAAACGAACGACAGTATTTATATTGCTAGTTTGCTTGAATTGAAGATCATTCAAGAACAACGTTGCATCAGATACTATAAACTCAGTTCTCAGAAGCACTTACAATTTGAATCCCTCCGGGTCAATAGCTTTCTTTTCATATAATTTAAATTTAAATAATCAATTGAAGATGCAGTACACCAACAAAATGAGGTCAGAGAAATTTTATTATTTATTCAGACAACAATTTATATTATTCAGACAACAAAGTAAAATATAAATGAATTATCGGGCATTTATTCCAAGCACTCGCAAAAACGCCACTTTAGAACAAATGAATGGCATTATTCATCAAGCTCTCAGGAGGCAAATTGAGTTTAGAGGCATTTCCGTCTTTATTGGACTATTTATACCGATACAAGCAAGCAATGTCTTAAAAAGCCCGCAGTCATAAATCTTACAATTCTTCACAAGCACAATAAGTATTTCCTTCTAGCCCATACTCTCGGAATTATTTTAAACGAAGAAAAACCTACAATGATTTAAGCATAAGATTCACGAATTGTTTCACGAATAATTGAAGAATTGTCACTTTCAATTGAATAATTGAAAGTGAAAATTGTCACGAATTGTCACGACTGCGGACAGACTAAATGTGTAGACGAAAATATTACTGAATTTAAATATTATGAATAGTGAATAGTAATGTGCAGGAGACTTGAGGTATGAAAATTTATCCGGGAACGTGCAACGAAAACGTTAACCATGCAATTGTCATTATTACTATAAAAATTATTGATTTCCTAAAAGTACATTCATAAATTTTGATCGCACCCATTCCGCTTTTTCATGCACCAAACCTTTCCTTTCTTCCACTTCAAGAATAAAGTTTCATGTCCAGACTCCAGATTACATCCCGAGACAATAAATACCCAGGATACGCACACCAACAGCTCTTATAACAGCTCTTCTTCTGCCAGGCTTCAAACGCACTCACCAACAAACAAACCCATAGAGTTTGACAGAGATACGTAAGATTATTGCACGAATATTATATTGATTTTATTCATTATTATATTCTAATTTGTATTATATAAACCATAATTAAAACTATTTTTGCAAAATCATAAGAAATTCGTACAAGGTGGGAAACTGTGAATTAGAAGTACAAATTTAATTAGAATTTACTGCAACCAATATACAAGAAATAAAAATAAGAAGGGAAGGCAGCCTGAGCATCAAGGAAGGTCAGGTAAAGATAAGAACCCATGGCTTTTAAAGACCACGCTATGTGCCGCCCATTAAATCAGATAACAAGAAAATTGCCACTTTGCCACGAGATAAATACCGATTCGAGACGAAAAGAATACCACGGAGGCTGAACAGCCACTTTAGATTAAATGAAATTACCCAGGATTGCGGACTTCACATCTCGGCCGCATAATAATGAAGCTTGAATGGGGACTCTAAAAACCATACGTTTCCGAACACGCTCAGCGGAAAGACTATCTGAAAAAATTAATTAATTTTACGTCTATTCAGAGAAAAATTCAAGCTGATTTTTTCATGAAATGACGTGTCTTCGCTCAAGATTATTTTATTTTAGATTTTAGTATTTCGTCGTGACTGTTGGTATTGTCTCTCTTCCACAAAATCGTAATTTTTATTACGATAATTTATATAGGAACATAATATTATTAAGAAAAATACTCGATTGAGTGAAAAGCGATTCGAAATATCTGACTAAATCGTTATATACAAAGTAATTTTTTCATGCTCAGAAATTAACCAACAAACAACGGCCTGACATTCAAAAACATAATTTATACTAAACCTGTTCAATTTTTCAACCAAAAAATAACTTAGCCCCAGCGAGAAAGATTAATTGAGCTTGAGGAAACAATGTACTTTATTATCCGTCCAACAGCACGAAACAAGGCATTCATGAGTCGACGTGCAATTCCCTGGAGTCCGCTTACGTTCGGTTTACCAGAAGCAGTAAATCAGAAGCGTAGCATATCGTGGCTCCTGATGAAACTTGATACCCGCAAAAATCAGAGCTAGGCTAGCTGGCCCAGAGCGCCGCGGGTGAGGATTGGTAGCCGCGATGCAGTTTACGATAAAGCTGTGACCTACACACTAGCTGCCATGGCAAACTCATTTTCTATTCTCGCTAAAAACGATAAAAAATACACCCATTTTCAAAATAAACAACCAATTAAGGAGCCGTTGGTAAGATGAATTGATTAGGCTAAACATCCCTGAAATCCACAACATAGCATCTATGAAGTTCAGCAGCTGGAACTTGCAACATCAAGCGAATCTGACGGGAGTGCGAGTCAATTTAGGGCACAGAATCTCAACCCGAAGACGAAATGTTCACTGCGATGTAACTCTCACGGCACTGGGCAGGTCGTGATCTAATTAGAGTTTCCAGCATCGTAATGCAACTCAGTCATGATGAAGGAGTGTCTTCATACTCGAGGGAACTCTGCGCACAGAACCTCATACACGACGCAACGCATCAGAGAATAATGATCATTATTCTTATCAGCAAAAAATATTTTCGTCACCATCATTCACTTATTTACTTAAATACTACTATGCTTTGCACACATATTATAATATATGGAAGGTATTGTAAGAATACATTAATGGGAAAACGTCACCGTGTTAAAAGTGACAAAACAAAAACTAATTTTAAACAGAAACTGATTCCCCAGAGTCTTGCCCGAGATCTAAAAGCCTTTGCTATTTCAAAAATATCTCCCTCATCATAAATGCATATATGAGCAAATTTTTCACGTTATATTTTATACACTTTGGATAATTAACAAGTTTCACTTGCAATAAAACTAGAAAAAAATGAAGCGAGTGCTTTCACTTGAATTCTAAATATATAACCATGAATTAATGTAAAAGAATGACTTTCATTGTAAAATAGAACAAAATAAACAACAATGTTAATACATTTGACGGCATCAAGTAGACACAAGTACTATTTGGAGGCATGCTAAGTGAGAACGCAACTATTAAGCCAGAAGAAAAAGTTAAGGAATTGCATATAAGTTTAATACATCCAAGGAGAACCACAAGTAAAAACGTCTATACTGTTCAACCGCAGGACTTGAGGAGATCAGATGAGAGCGGCAGTAATCGACACGCCTATCAAGAATTATTTCATTGGTAGCGGCGTATAGGCATCCAAAACACAGGTCGTTACAAGCAGCAAATACTGACTCATAAATTATTAAGACGAGTCTTACAAAGTAGCGAGCTAAAAAGCCTCGGCAAACCTCTGCTATTGGCGGATGAAGCTATCATGGATACGAAGAGATATACAAGTGACCAGGGGCCATACTTTCAAAACTCGCTAAGTGAACGTAAGTTCTTACGCTCTATTTTCTTGTCTATGATTGGTGGATTTTGCTTGAAAGGTCGCCAATGATTGGCTGATGAACTTACGATCTCTTAACTTTTTTTGAAAGTATCGGCCCAGAGCAATGGCATCAGTCGCATCGAGCGTGTTGAATACTGTTGATATCGCCCCTTGAATCTAACGTTCATGAGAGAATAACTTGCGAATATCTCGAAAAAAATTAAATGGCCAGTAAAGTTAGCGAGTTTATTTCGATGCGCTGATGTAAATGAGGGCTGGTTCATTAGGAAGGGATTATGAGCCATGACTGAGTTTAATTATGTTTTATGCGATGCAAAGTAGTGAGGGTGTTTCGTAGGGATTTAAAAATGTAACTGTGTTTAACTTGCGGCTAGGCTTGAGCAACAAGAATTACTGTGCATTCAGAAGGGCACGTTTCTTGAATTAAATGTATATCAAATGGTTCATAGGAGGAACGAAAAAATCATTTTGTAAAATAAATGAAATCATTTACTCATTAATGGTCAATCATCAATCAACTATTAACTTGACCACAAAAACACACGGAATTTAAAGACTATCAATTAGCACATAATCATGGAGCAATAAAATAAAATTAAGGCGGTATAGAAAACAATATCTACACTTTAAAAACACTAAAACCGGAAATAAGAGCTCAGAATTTTACAAAATCGTACATTGTTTTGTTGAAATTTTATTCTTCCTTTGAGCTCCACAATTCCAGGGCCGAGGTATCAGGGCGTACAACACGTTTGCAGCTTACATGCATTAGTGCGGAAACGGTAAATGGTCCCTGAAAATTCTGATCTGAAAAGTTAGACGAGTCTCGCTTCAACAACAAGTATCACAGGTTCACGGACACTCCTGCACGACATAGGGACGAAAATCTTGAAATTAACTAACTCAACAACAGGCTAATCAAACCCGAGGGGAGAACTGAAAATGCGAGTTGAGATACATGCGACGTCATGTTTTTTGCCAGGAGACATCGCACGGAATTTTTCAGCTCCCGACAATTGAATTAACTTCGGTGTCAGTTGACACACGACTCACAAGAAGACATGAGAGTAGA